TCTGCAATCTGCATTTGGGGTAAAATTGGGAGTTCATAACCCACTTCAATCTAATGTATGAAATATGATATGTCAAGAGCTTTGTAATGTTGTGAGCAACCAATAAAAAAATAAAAAATTAAAAAAAAAATAAAAAAATAAAATACAAAATAGGGCTAGGGATATGGCTCAGTGGTTGAGTGCCCCTGAGTTCAATCCCTGGTACAATCCCGCGCCCCCCAAAGAAAAGAAACTTGTGCAGTTCTCAAAAGCTTCAGTTTGATGATGAAGTAGTTGTAAGTGAAACTCAAAGGTCAGGTTGGCCTGAGTTAAAGTCTCATTCTGGCATTTGTTGTTGTTGTTATGGGGGATTGAACCCAGGAGTGCTTTACTACTGAACTCCTTCCTCCATCTTTTTTCTTTTTCTTTTGAAATGGGGTTTCATTAAGTTGCTGAGGGTCTCACTAAATTGAACTTGTGATCCTACTACCTCAGATTCTTGAGTCGCCTTAGCAACTCAGGCATGGACTACTGTGCCCAACAAACATAAATTCTTAAAAAAAAACAATCAAGCATTTTTTTTTCTTTGAAAGCACTTATTTCATGCTAATTTAAATTTTTTTTTAAATTTTGAGATATCTGTAGATTCATAAGCTGTTGTAAAAAGTAATACAGAGATACTCTGCTCTTAGCTTAGTTTCCCCCAGTGATTAGCACCCTACAGGCCTGCAGTATAATATCTGAACTGGAGTGTTGACAGTGATAGTCAAGATACAGACTGTGTCCCTTATCACAAAGATCCCTCCTGTTGCCCTTCAAAAACACTCGTGATTTCTTCCCTCTACCTGTCTGCTCCTTAATCCCTTCTCCCCACTCCATTCCTATGTCCTCCGTTCCTAAGATGCTAAAATGTGTACTTGTAGAGGATGAAATGACAAGGAGAGTGAGAAGCTTCACACTTGATAAATTCTCATGAAGCAGAGGCTATTCTTGTTATAATAAGGAAATCCATAAATGTGAAAATGCCTTCCTAAGAATGCTGATTTTAAACAATTATAGCACAAACATTTCTATTTCTTTCTTCCACAACCGTGCTATTCTCTATCTCAGAGGCGATCCATAGAGAAGTCAGCCTGCCTGTTGTCCAGGGGTCAGGTGGCTTCCTAGGGGACACCTGGCACTGATAAACACTGACATGCTTCTGTAACCACAAGGTAGAAAACAGGAAGAAAGACAACGGAACAACTGCTGTGACACCCTTTCCTGGACGGAGACCTCAGAATACTGACCACGGTAAAACTACAACCGCGAACTGATGTTTGGTTTTCACCAGTGACTCAAGGCCAAACTGTTGGGGGCAAGGAAAAAATTTACTTGGAAAGGTAGCAAACCAGAGAAGATGGAGGCCATTGCTAACAAAGACCGTCTTGCCGAAGGGTTGCAGGTGTAAGGCTTATGAAGGGAGTTTTGAGCCTACCGGGTGGGAAGCAGGGTAGTTGCAAATTCCAGGGTAGTCTGGAACAAGTTTCAGGTGGTCTGATGTTATCTCTAGGCCACCACCTGTTCTGGGTTCAATAAATCTAAAGAAAAGTTACTGATTAGAAAGTTTTGTAACTGTCTTCTTTGTTCTGTTTTACAGAAATAGCCAAGACTGCAGTTAATCATTAGTATACAAAAGGCATTTTTCATCAGAGAACAGGGTAGGGCAGCAAAAGCTAACCATCCCCTGGAGAACAGGGGAAGATAATTGAAAGACCCTGTTGCAGGTCAAGGTAGTGCAATGCAAATCAGAGAACAGTTTTAGCTGGTTGGGAGGCTTCAGTCAGAGCTGTCACCTACAGAGAAGCTAGTGGAAGACGGTATCCTCCCTAAAGAGAAGGGGTACAGTAAAACACCCTGTCCCTGAATGCCCCCTTTCTGATCCCCCAAACCTAGACAAGTTGAGGGAAGCATGAGAGCATGTCCAGGCAGGAAAATCCAGACACATGTGATCTTGAAGGACACTGGCTTTCTCTTATCCACACCGGGAACTAGGGCAAGTTAGTGTTATTTATAGGAAGCTATTTTCTTGAATATGTGCCAGGACAGTTGCTCCTTTGGATGCAGATGGAATAAAAGAAGTGAACAAAATTATGCTGACAATGTCACTGCTTCTGCAACCTAACATGTACAATCCCTTTCTTAGTAGAGGTGGGAGCAGAACTGAGGGGACTATGGAAAGGATATACATCACTCATTCAGTCAGCCACCACTGGACAAAACGTTATGAGAGAAAGAAGGATCTGCTTGTTGAAGCACTGTGAGAGATGGAGGTGTGTAGAGAATCAGATGTGACTGCGTTACTATTACTGTCCTTGATGGAGTTTGCCTGCAAACAGGATATTCTGTCAAGATATAGAAAGGCAACAGCGGACATGCTTGAAAACGAGGTGTCTGCTGTCCTTGGGAGGGCTTGCTCGCAAACGAGAGGCTCCTTCAAGGTTTAGATAAGGTAACAACAGACATGCTTGAAAACGAGGTGTCTGTTGACCTTGGGAGAACCTGCCTGCAAACGGGATGTTCTGCCGAGTGGGCTAGGAGGGCGCTGAGAAAAATTTTTTATCTGTTCTAAACAAAGAGCAGAGCTCAGCATACTCCAGGCCGAGAGTAGATTAGCCATGAGAAGCGGGTCACTTCTGATTAGAAAGTAAAACTTCTGTGTGCTATGTTTAATTAGCTGAAAGACCTGATTTATTGAAGTTGGAAGGCTGCCTTTTTTGTTCACAATACTATAAAAAGATTGCTTGTATACAATAAAGGACCTTTTTTTCTGCTGCTGCTTTGCTTGCTCTGCTTCTTCTTCTTCTTTGTTTTCCCATGCTGACCTGCAAGTGAATTACTGCAACAGAGGTGCCACCTATTTAGCTTATTCACCAGGCTCTTCTTGCAATACTTTCTGATCTCTTCCAAGCATTCACGTTTCCCATGATGTTTCTGGGCGTTTTCTTTGGCTTTATTGCAACCTACCCCACAGCTCTAGCACAACTGGGCTGAGACTTATAATATTTTGCTTAGCTGCATGACCTCCAAATTAGACAAAGACTATCATTATATCGCTTAGCTGCATGACCTCCAAAATTAGTGGTTTTTTAAAATCAACTAAAAGAGAGTGGAATTAGAGTGTTTATTTAGGCTTTAACTCAGTTACAAAACTGCCTCTCTTATAGTTTGAAAGGATCTTAATGAATAAATCGTTCATTTCCTAAGTGGAAAACTAAGGCTCTCATTGAAGCTAGGGCCAGAACCAGGACTAAAGTCAGACCCCTCTTTCACTAGCACTATATATACTTTTTATTATGAAAAATTTAAAAAGTCACAGAAGTAGAATGATTAGAATAATGAACTTCTATATGCTCATCATTCAACTTCCATAATTATCAATGTGTGATCTCTCTTGAAAAACCAATATCTTATCATATCCAATCCCCCCACCCAAAAAAAGAAAGAAAAGAATTAAAAGAGAAGGCAGAGCAAGAGAAACAAAGATTGTCAATAAATGCCTGAAACATAAAAAATTTGTTTTGAGTTGTTTTTATAATAGTCTGAAAAACAGATTTATTCTGAAAGGACACTGTTCCTTTAACTTGCTTACTGATCCCTCCCAGACTTTGCACCCTGGCCAAATGCCTGACCACTCTTGCTTTAACTGAGTCTAATAAGCATGAATAAAAGACTACAAAAGATCCAAAAGCAAAGACAATTTTTATTTCCTACAGAACAGATCAGTATCAAATAAGCTACCTCCATCCCTAACAGTAGTCCTTGCTGTGGGCATTCAACCAGTTTTTAATTTTTATTTGACAAACTTTATAAGGTAAGACATAACAACTTTGTTTTAATCACTTAACTCAGATAGGACCATCTAGGAACTGTGGAAAATTAAATGGTTTACATATTTATTATATGAAGAAAGCTTTTCAAAATTTTTCATCTTCTGCTATTACTTGAAATAAATTATTAGAGAAATATAACTAATTGTTAAAATGCATAAGTTTAAACTTTATTTTAAAGTTATTTTAAAATGTATTTTTAATTTAGTCTACTAAATGGCATTAGAATAATGTTAATGTCTTTTGGAACAAAAATTCTATAATTCAGGATTAATTATAGAATACGTTCTGTATCTAATAAGCTAGTTTGGCAATTTGAACAAGGACTTATGCAATCATTTTATCTTCATGCAGAAATCAATGAGAGGCAAACATTATGAATAAAATCAGCAAACTCTACTGAAAGATGATTTTTGTATCTGAAACATTATAAAATATAAAGTCTCTGTATTTTATTGATTCTGCTATTTATATGAAATAATTTTAGGCCAAAAGCAAAAAAAAGTAATATTTGACTAAAGACCATCCTTGTTTATGCATTTATAAGTGTAACCTATAATAAACATATGGATTTACATTTCTTTCATTTAATTAATGACATTTTGCATTCCTGAAACCTATTTTGCTTGTACATGGCATCTAAAAGAAAGAAAGTTGAGAATTATTTAAAAAAAGAGCAGAAAAACACAGTAAAAGAGATTAGATGTGAGTGGGATTCCACAAAGCCAAACTAATAGGAAGAAAGAGAATTCAGGAAGGCAGTAAAACTAAAAAATTAGAGGAAAAAAAGTAGAAGAAAGTATACCTTGTACTCCAGGAAAATGAAAAGGAATAGGAAAACTTTGGTTTGAAAGGGCTGGATAAAAACTGTCAGAGCAAATAATAATAAAATGTAAGGTAGTGTGGTTATTGCTATTGAATAAATTGTGTAGAATGTCATATATATAGGGGTTGGTATGAATTTATGATTATATGTCAATAAAACTGTATAATAATGTGCTTATTTGGGAGAAAATATAAGTCTTGAGTTAAAGTCAGTATGTCTAATTGAGCCCTGTGCATGAGAAGACTTTTCTTCTTAGTATTATGCATGGGATTCATCTTCTTTAGGTCTTTGATGTATTGTTTGATAAAATAGCTTATAAAATCTCTTATTCTCAATGAAATTTAGTTCTCAGTCTCTTATTTCCAGAAATTCTGAGATGTTTTTTATGGTATGGACTCAATCAAAGAGAAAAATCATAGGTGACACAAGACACATAATGTTATTCCTTTACCCCTTTGTAAATGCAAAAATAGCTATGTTTATCTATACAGGCTTATCTTTACACTAATCTTCAGAATCTAAGTTGTACATACTTTATATTCTTCTCCTTGGTTAACCAGAAGATTCCTGGAGGAGGACTATCCTTTGTGTGTTCTATTTCCTTAGCACACTTCTTATTTTTTCCCCAATACCTAGCTATCTTCAATCTTGGCATACCTGGTCTGATCAGCTGGCATTTGGCCAATTGCACTTGAGGCACCTGCCAGCAGAGGTGCTTGGTTATGTGGGAGCGAGGTTCTCTTAATGACCTTCCTACAGGATAATGTTATGTGAAGAGCAGACGATGGAATGGAGCCAAATATTGCTGTCGTCAACCCACCAGCTTTGCTTCTCTGGGGTTTGTCCATCTGGCAGTTATGAAAGAAATCAGTGTCCTGTCTCACTCCTCACTACCACTGTGTGTATTTCCACCCTCTATTCAGAGCCTGGAAATATCATGCTCACGATTTCCCAGTTCACATTCCTTGAAGGCAAGGTGCCAAAGAAGGAAAATGTGATTCCTTTTCCAGAACTTTTGAAGTCAATATAGTTTAAGCAGGCAAACATTTCAAAACCATGTTGAATATTTGTTCCAAATAAGCTTTCTTGTTCTCATACTCTTGGGTACACTGAGCTAGCAACATATCAGCCTTTTCTTGTCAGGGAATTCTGCAGGCTAAAAAGTCACTCGATGTGTAAATGGGCATATTGATTGTTGATGACTGAACAACAGAATTATAATTTTTCTTTGTTAATCTATCTAGACAAATGGCTTCACAGGGCTGTTCATAGCGGGGTACTTCCTGACTGCAAGCCTATTTCAGTTCATTAGTTCTTCCAGCTAACTCTAGTTCTTCCAGCTATCATTGGAAGCTTTGAAGTAACTCTGTTGATTGGCTCTCATACTCTTTTTGATTCGTTGGCTCCAACCCTGGTGGAGACAAAGTTTCCAAAGTGAGGGTAGAAAAGAGAAATGGGGTTCTATAAAAACCGAAGGGTAGATTAATTTTTGACTTGACCTCTGGAACAACTGAAGTTATGTGTATAATATTAGGACTGAAATGGAGGTAGTGTTCTCCAATCCTGCAAAATGTTGGATTGGAGAACAGTTACAATAAAAATGAGTGAATCTGAATTCACTCAGAAGAATCTGGGAATGTCAAAGCAGATGCTGTGATTGAACCATGGCCACCATGAGGGGTGGGGCTGAAATGTCTTCAGTTGCTCTTCTCACATCCTGCTCCTCATAATATAATGGGAAATTAAGACTTCTTGAATATATAGAAATATTTATTAATAAATATTTGGTTATGGGTGCCATGATTTACTTGGGTTAGAAACTTAAAATCTCAATGTGAATATTTTTCTATAAATGTGTATGAGAACCCCTTTCACCAGTAACATGCCAGTTTTTGATTCTATAAGCTTGAAATTAAAAAATAGCAAACCTTATTTTTATTGAAGTATTTATAACTAATTTCTCTGTTTCAAGGTGCTACCAGGCAGATGAGTTTTCACCGTCTACCATAATGTGGAGCAGATATTTTGCCTTCTGTCTCTTGCTTTTGCCAATTTTTATGAGTCAAACAGTATACGGACAAAGAAAGAAAGGAACAAAGTCAAATTTACTTGCAAGGAAAAATGACCTCCAGGGTAAAAACAAGTTTGCTTATGTTCTTAATTATTAATTTCAGCTGGCTAAAACACTGATTTCACATTTTCTAAATAACTTTTGAGGTAAATAATAGTACATCACATATATGTATATACATGACATTCTACTTGGATATAATTATGACAGCAATACATCTTACACACTTAGAGCACATCAAAGTTTTTTGAGCATTTGTGCATTTGTTATCTCATTTGAGCCTCACATGTAAAATAGGCAGGACAGAGACTGTCACTTTCATGTTATAGAGAAGTTGAGACTCAGAGAAGTTAAATGGCACATTTAAGGCACAGGCAAACTAGTAAGAAACAGAGCTGGGATTCAAAGTTCTCTGTTTTCAAAATAAGTTTATTTCTCCCTTGCTGTTGATGAGTACAGTCATTTTGTCCCTTAGTTTCAACAAAGTTGATGACAAAAATCAAAACCAAATGGGGACTCACTGATATGACACACAACCTAAGAAACAACCTAAGAAATAAAGCATTTTGGTTTTTTTTTTTTAACTGCGAGAAAACCTCACTTGTTGAATTTGAAAAATGTGCCCTCCCTTCCTCTCACTTTAAGTGGGTTTAACATTGAGAATATGCTGTGAATATATGATCTTTTGTTTACTTGTTTGCTCTTCATTTGCATGATCCTACAAAGGGAAAGACTTGGAAAGAGACTTAGATCTTTACAAGTTAAGCCTTATCTCCAACGTGATCTTTCATATCCACTTCACTCCCTTCTCAAAACCAAATACAACAGCCACCTTAGGGCGCTCCTATACAATTCAGTTTGGTGAGTTAGAACAATTAAGTTGCCTAATCTTTTTTGTTCTATTTCAGACTCTGTTTGCTTCATAGATGTGCTCTTCATTGTGGACAGCTCTGAAAGTTCTAAACTTGTCCTCTTTGATAAACAGAAAAATTTTGTGGATAGCTTGAGTGACAAGATCTTTCAATTGACCCCGGGTCACTCTTTGAAATATGACATCAAACTGGCAGCCCTTCAGTTCAGCAGCTCAGTCCAGATCGATCCACCTTTCTCTTCTTGGAAGGACCTGCAGACGTTTAAGCAGAGGGTTAAGTCTATGAATTTCATTGGACAAGGCACCTTCTCTTATTATGCCATTTCCAATGCCACTCGGCTACTTAAGAGAGAAGGACGTAAAGATGGTGTGAAGGTGGTTTTGCTAATGACTGATGGCATGGACCATCCAAAGAATCCAGATGTTCAAAGTATTTCTGAAAGTGCTAGAAATGCAGGAATATCATTTATCACCATTGGACTTCTCACTGTCAACAAAACCAAACTTCATTTGATATCTGGGGATGCACCCAGTGAACCTATTCTACTGTTGAGTGATCCAACCATTGTAGATAAAATTCGGGATCGCCTGGTAGGTACCAAATGGATATGCTAAGTATTTTGCACCATAATGTTGATATCTTGGTTATAAATTCTGTAAGGGTTGATACTGGGCAAGAAACATGAAAAAAGTATATACACAAATTTCTTTGGAATTTTCTTTCTATAAGAAAAATCTGAAGTCTCTCTTCATTTCCTTATACCAAGTAAGCTGGGAAAGTACAAGGCTCATTCCCTGAAATTGCATTCCTAACTTTATTATTAGCCCAGGCTGAGGATTTGGGAGGATTACTTTCCAATCATACACATCAGGCTTCTGTTTATATATCCTAAGATTGTGAACGCTGCTTACATATATTAATTTTGTGGTCAACTTGTGGTCTGCTGTATTTATATCAAGTTTGTCTTTTCCCAGTTCCACATCTGCAGAAATATTTTTGGCTCTATTTCACCTATTGCCACATTATACTACTTAAGCAAAATAGAATTTTATAGTAGTAGAACTCCAATTTTGAAAATGATTTCTGTGTTTCTTAGATAAATTAAATAGGCCCATTTAATTTATAATCACCTGAAGTCAACCAACAATTTCTCCCTCAAATCAATGAATCCCACTTGATGGGTCTGGTTAGATGCCTCATTGCTTCTCTGTATTTTTTGCTTAGCTATGTGTGAAAGTCTCTCCTTGCTGCTTTGGAAAACATGAGGCATAGCAATCAAAAAGAAATCCCTCTTGACAACATTTCTCAAAAAGAAAACTCCTGAAGATGAATTGGTTGATTTGTTAAATGTTAAAGAAAAAATCGATTTCCTTAAAAATACTGATTTCTTTGATTTTCTAAGAAGACAAGACACCCTAGTCCTTTAGGCACTGAGCATGTGGATATCTTCTCTATGATGCAAAGAAAAGTCAGGTCCTACTCTGAAGATCGTTTTGATCCTTTTGTCCTTCCTCCAATGCTTTTCCTAATGTTACTCTTATCTTTTTAGTGTCAATTGTTTTCAGCATGAGACCTGAGTTTTTTTTTTATCTGAGTAATATCATATATTGTATCTAAGTAATATCTAAGTGATATTGTAATATCTAAGTATATTGCCAGTTTTTATGAGTCAAACAGTATACAGACAAAGAAAGGAGGAAAGTTGAATTTACTTGCAAGGAAAAATGACCTCCAGGATAAAAACAAGTTTGCTTATGTTCTTAATTATTAATTTCATCTAGTTAAAACACAGATTTGAAATTTTCTAAATTGAGGTAAATAGTAGTACATCACACACACACACACACACGACATTCTACTTGGATATAATTACATATTAGGTGTGTATTTTACTTTATTCTGTGTTTGCCAAAATCTTATGATATGGGTACTGTTATTATTCCTATTTTATGGTTGAAAATTTAAGGTCAGTCAAAACCCCAGAGTGTGCATGCTTAATTCTATAAAGGTGTATTCAGAGAGGAAATAGTAACTGTTTTAAAAGTATTTTTTTTCAATCAGAAATGTCTTGAAACAGGTAAACAACATCTCTACTATTATTTTTAGTCTTTGCTCCTTGGGGATTGAGGATATATGGGAAGGGTTTTGCCTAGACTTGAGAGAGAGATGACACCTAGCTCCCTAGTGCTTGGGGTGAGTATGCATCCTGAACAGTTCTTTCACATGAGAGGGAACCTTGCCATGGTGCTGGGATAACATTGAACCCTGACTGTACCCATGGCCTAAGGTGTCCTTACCACTTAAGACAATTCTGGCATGTGCAGAAGAGAATCCTGGGGCTGTAAACATGAGTGTCCTGCTGCTACTTCCCTGTCATTATCCTGTGAGAAGAGTTGAATATAGAAGATGTGGGGCAGGCAAGTCCTTGTCTGGCCAGATGTGCAGGCTCCGGATATTCATACTTCCTCTTGACATAAGCTTGTTGAGAAATTCTACCTCAAAGGGCACACAGGCTCTTGTCAGGAGACTGGAGGCAGGACTGTTGGTCTGTTTCTAGGGAAATCAGAAAATGACCAACAGTGTTGCTATTCCTTAGCATCCTGTGATTTCAGCTTGTTTGTTCAGATGGAAGCTTAATGAATAAGACTGTTCTTAGAAGAGGTCCTGCTTCCCAACCATTTCCTGGGTCCAGAGCAGAAGTCATCTTTTTTTTTGTACTGGTAATTGAACCCGAAGGTGCTTTACCATTGAACTACAACCTCAGTCCTTTTTATTTATTTATTTTTCCCACATTTTTTATGGGTGTGTTATAAGTGTGCATAAGGATGGGATTTGTTACATAATCTTTAATGCACACAATATAACAATATACTTTGGACAATATCATCCTTTGTATCTTGATTTTGAGATTGGGTCTCAGTAAGTTGCTGAGGTTGGCCTTGAACTTGCCATCCATCTGTTTTAGATTCCTGAGTCACTGGGATTGCACGTGAATGCCACCACACCCAACCCTCCCGAGTGTTTATTTAGGCTCTTTAAAGAACAATACTCCAGGATTTATGTTTCTATTTCACCATCTATGAAGTAGAATTTGACTCCTGATCAGGTTATTGGAAACATTCCTCTTTTAATCTATTTGTATTATATCTTTAATTGAATTTTTACCACTTTATTTTGAAATGATTTCATAACTATGAATTTCATAAAAACTATTTCATAAATATCATAAAAATGTTAGATATAGTTTAACTACAAAACTGCATCTACTTAAAGTATATAACATATGAGTTTTAAAAATGTATACATCCATGAAACCATCAATGCAATTGGAAAACAGAACATTTCCACCACCCAGCTTCTTCCTTACACCTTTGGGATACTTGCCTTAATACTGATATGACTTTTGTTGCTCTAGGTTAGTATACATTTTCTAGAATTTTATAAGTAAACTCATATAGTGTGTGCTCTGTTTGTGGCAAACTTTTTTTACTCAGCCTAATGATTTTGAAATTAGTCAGAGTTGTTTCTTTGGATTAGTAGTGTATTCCATTTTATTGCAGAGTAAACTTAAGTTGAATTTAATTGACACAATTGTCCAGAATAAGTCAACTTTGCAGGAGTCAAGATGAATTGCAGAGTCAGTGTATATGCCTTGATATCTCTAGTAGAAAGTTTCATGAAAGAATCTCATGAAATCATTTTAATTCTAAATTACCCAGGAGGGATGAGGTGATTCCGAATTGAAGGGGATAAGTGAAATATTTTTATTGTTAGTTTATTATGGTTCATATAGTAGTGTTGAAACCTAAGAAACAAATTCAACCAATGTCCCATATATATTACTTGGTCTTTAGAAGAGTAAAAAAAGAATATGTGAAAACAATTTTTTTAAAAAAATTTTTTTTCCTCTATCACTTTTAATGTAAATATTTAAAAAGCCTTTATGAGAATAAGAGTTGTGACAAATTGGTCTCTTTTAATGAATATCATCAGAAAGAACATAAACTGTAGGTATTCCCTCCTTCACATAAATAATCATTTTGGTAATTTCCATATCATCCTCAGAATTATATGTTTTATTTTAAAATAATGGTCCACTTCTCTTTTTCTCAGGGCTTCCCTTGCTTGGAGTCTTATTTCTGCTCTAATGTATTTCAGATTTTGTTAGCAATTTTACTATTATGTTAAGCTGTAAGTTTTGTTCTTTGTTACAGCGTTCGTCATCCTTGCCTACTGAGTGCTTTAGTCTCATCCCATTTGCTATGATGCTAATAACGTTGTCCATCCCTCACATTTCCTCTATCTCCTTTGGGTAGCATTGACCTTGTAACTCTTCTCTGTAAAATAGGCAGTTCCCTTCTTGCCCTCTTCTTTGACATATACATATATCATCATAAAAATCCAGATCTATTAATAAAACGTAGGCCTTACCTCTAGTGAGGGTCTCTATTATTTATCCTTTATATTGAAACTCAAATTCCACCTAGACTGTAATTGATGTGTCTTTCCCTCTGGCTTTGACCACGGGCCCCAGCTGTTCTCACACAATGCTTCTCTGCCCCCTTGGAAGCTACTTCCCAAGGCATCCAGTTGTGTTCACGTGGGCCCTTCCATCCACTCTGGTTAAATGTCCCTCCTCACTGCTTCCTTTGTCTTATTGCCCACACTCGTCTTTATGACTTTTTTCCTCTTAAACTTTGACATATAGCATGGCATGCCATCAACAAGTTGGTCCTTTGCATTCCTCTCTTCAAAATCATCCAGAAACCCCACCTATTCCAAGAAACCATCTCGTTCCTGCCCTTCTCCCTGACCCCCTGCACTGTTGGCTGTGTGTTGTCCTCTGTCCCTGGGGCCTATAGACTATAAGTGAGTGCCCTTAGGGATGAGGCTTTGTTCTTTGTTTGAAACAGTCTTTTTTATTCTAAAGTTTTGTGTTCATTTTTGTTTCCATAGAAATATAAATTCCAGCAAACACATAATCAAATGAATTCCAAAAATAGTTACTTGTGTTGTTATGATTTTAAGCTTTATGGCACATATTTTCAAAGAACAATACAGCAAGACAGAAATTGAATTTTCAAAAGAAGAGCTGATGTGTAGAATTTCACATCAGGCACACTGACAGCTAAATTCATGAATTGAAAAACTGACAACGATATTGCTTATTGTTAAAAAGGTTGTAAAGTGACAAAACTTTGAATTTTTCTTTAGTAGTTGTTTTAAAATTTTATAATTTGGCTTAAATTATCAGGGTTTTAAAAATTGTCTCTCAGGAGCTCCTTTTGAATTCTTTTTTCCTCTCACTTTCCCAGAGGACACCAAGCTTCTAATGTGTGTTTTGAATATTTTATAATTTGGATTATATTGTACATATCCATCTGCAAAACGCTTTTTCACCTGATGTTTTTGGAAACTTAACTATGTTGAATTACATACATCCAATGCATTTGTTTTAACTGCTGAATTTCACTTATTAACCCATTCTACTATGTGGTTTTTTTTTTTTTTTTTTGGTACCAGGGATTGAACTCAGGGACACTCAATCACTGAGCTACATCCCCAGTCCTATTTATTTTATTTAGAGACAGGGTCTCACTGAGCTGCTTAGAGCTTGCTTTTGCTGAGGCTGGCTTTGAACTCATGATCCTGACTGGTGGATTTTCTTAATGCATATGTCCAATGTCTCCCCTTCATTGTCCTTTCCTCTGCCCACCTGTTCATTATTGACTAAGCTAACTAACAACTGTCTAAAGCCCACTTACATTTCACAAAATTATGACTTTAAAATGAATGTTTTGATGCCAAAGAATAAATTCACACATGTATAGGCTGGAAAAAAATGGCAGAAAGGAAAATACACAATTATGTATTCTGCCTTAGTCTTTGTAAGTAAAAGTAAAGACATTCTCATTATGACTGATTAAGTTTGTAGCTAAATTATAGAGAGTATAATGCTGATCAAAGAAACAAAAGATAAAGCACAGAATGCAATAGGATAAAGATCCTAGAAAGCATAGAGTAATTTTTAATGTTAGTGCCCTTCATGTCTCCTATTATTACATGGCTGAGAGTGCTCCTTGGGTGGTTGGCTGGCAGGGTTTATTGCTTTTACAAGGTTAAAAAGGCTCAATTGCTATTCTACTTGGAAATTGCATATCCCATAGGGAATAATTAAGACTAATAAGAAGCTGGAAGCAGAACCATTAATTGAGTTAATGTTTCATTCTTTTTTCCCTCCTAGGATATTTTATTTGAAAAGAAGGTAAGCACCACATGCTTTGATTACTATGAATGACTCTGAAAGCTTGTATTATCAGATCAGCATTATAATTCACATTAGAAGCTTAGGTGTGACTAAACAAAAATGCTTAATTCTTTTGGAACCATTCTCTTTTGAAATAGTCATCTGATTTTTCTGCTACTCTATCCACTGTAGGTTGAAAATTTTAGGAAAAGTAGGGACTATTTAATATGATTAAAAATAATTTTAGAAATCAGTGATAACCAAATGGCATAGTTTTTGCTTACTTTGACATGGCTTCTTTTATTCTAAACTCATCTCTGACATCAGCTACTCATGGAGTTCCTGTACTTGGGGAGATGTTCCCAGTATTGGCTAGCTTATGGTTAGTGCTAAGAGAAAAGAGCTTAGAATCATCCCCTGCTGCTGGCTGGTTGACTATAAGCTCATTGTCTTTCCTATTGTAGAGAAAATTGAGCCTCATGATGGCAACTAGGGCAAAGGACAATGGAAGCTGGCCAAAAGCAATAGATTGGATAGGATATTGCACAACAGATATTATGAGTTTGCTGAGGATTCCTGAACATCGTGGGCATTTCTTAAAAGAAAGAGTTTGGAACATTTGAACTTTTTTCAATAAACTGCTTAACATCAGGACATTAACAGTTATCCTTGCATAAGATAATAGAAGTCAACCAAACCTTGTAAAATATCAGGTTTCATTGAATTATGCACAGATACAACATTATTTTATGTCCCATCAACAAAGGAAACATCTTTGCCCATAAAACAGTGATACAAGTGCCTTCTCATCAATTGCAACTTTTATTTTACATTTATGGAAAGAATCCTTTTACATTTATTTAGATACAGACTTTTAAATTCTGTATTACTTTTGTGCATATATATGGAGAAAAATATAAACAAAATAATTTTTTTTTCCTAAAACTTCACCTCAGTGTCTAAATCTTGAGTCAGTGCCCTTGTTTTTCCACATAATCCTGACCTCTGCACCATCAAAACCATTGTCAATGAAGCATGTTTTTTGGTGTTCTCTGGCATTTTCTTCCATTTCATTCTGTAAGTCTTGAAATGCATGTTCAGAAAACAAATACTGTGTCATATTTGACCTGTTAGCTATGCTAAGACTCATTTTGATTTCAGAGGTGTTAATATGAGGAAAAATGTGCTTCTTAGGATTGACAAAATGTGGTATACGTTAAATGTTTTCTTTTGCTGAGTAAAGGAGAACTTAATATTTGTCTATAATGAAGCGTTCATGTGTTATATAGAAGAGTAGAGCAGATATTCCAAAAGTCCACTGAAAATGTTTATTTTCCTATTTTAATTGGCATCTATAAATCTTTGACAGAATATCTATTTTATTTAACCATAGCAAAGTTTAATAATACTTTAGTAGTTGGCTCTTAATCTACCTGAGTTTGCCTGGAATAATTTAATAGAGCAAAATCTCCATGAATTTGCAAGGTCAGCTTTCTCTAAGGGAGTGTTCCAGTTGTGTATTGGATAATACTTGAAATGCTATCCTAACTGAATTTCACTGTGTGCTTAATACTGTGTTTCATTATTGATTTAGTGTGAACGCAAGATCTGTGAATGTGAGAAGGGGGATCCAGGCGAACCAGGGCCACCTGTGAGTATACTATTACTTCAGACTTGAGGCTGATGAAGACGGTGATGGCACAGTGATGAAATTGCTTTCAGAAAGGGCTTTTCAGTGTCATTGCTTATTGGATAATGGGGGCCCGTGATTTCTGAATAATGAAGTGAAAATACAGAAAATGATAATACAGGTCATCAGTACTTTAGGAAAGCTTTGTTTTACTAGAAGCAAGGACACAGTCCTCTTGGGAAACTCTTGCCTTCACAGCAATGCAGCAACAACTTAGTGTGGTCTCCTGGAGAGGCCAGTAGGGCATTTTGGGAGATTAGGTAAATTCTGTCAAATGGAAGCAATCACTGGGCAACCAAAGATAAATGGTGGGATTTAGTATGATGATTCGATATCTGATACCATCGTCCATTCTAGCCTAGGATCAATAGTGCCATCTGTATAGTTGGAAACCATTTGAAATGACACTAAGACTGCTAGAGATGCTGAATATTTTTCTGACTGATATCAGAAAGCATCCAGGCTGCTTATCACGCATTTCATTTATTGATGGGATTGCAAACTTTATCCTTAGAGGTCAGAAGCCTGGGGAGATGTTTCACAAAATACATGGATTCGATTTTGAACTAATGCTCCTATTTAGGGGTGGGGAGGGGAATGCATTTTGTGAATATCTGCGAATATGACACATTTTACCTTGAGACTTGGTTCCAAAGCTTGTTCCTTTTCAAATCAGTCTACCACTGAAGGTGTTAAGAAGTGAACTTGTTTGTCCCCACAACCCCAATATAAAGTTGCCAGAGGAAAGGATATTCTGTTTTAAAATGAACAGTGCTAGTAAGAAAGTTTACAGTTGCTAAGCTAAGCTGACAATTTCAGTCACTTATGTTTTAATAGGGGTAAACCATAGAGCTATGCTGTTTAATATTTATTAAACTCCCCCAAAACAGTTTTCAGAAAAGCAACATTTTGGGTGGCTTGAGCCTAGTAAAACAAAGTGCTTTTCTGGAACAGGATTGGGAAGCCCCCTTCTCCTATCTTTTGAGGTTGTCCCCTGTATATAAGAACCTCTGTGACCAAAGACAAGCAAGCTGGTCTGGTTTTTTCAAAAGTGACTCAGAGGTGGGGGACTATAGTGGTCCACAATTAAGTGAGGATAGGAATAACTCCTATATTTTTGCCTGTTCAGTCATTCCTTTCAATCTTTGAGTTTGATTTTGTTTACAAAGTAACTGAAAATTAATTATTTGGGGAAGAAGTAATTGTTGGGAAGAAAGAGATATTATCCTTTTAACAATTGCAGAATTTGTCCATCTGAGACAGTACAGTAGTAAAGGGGAGAAAAGAGTGGAATCTATGTGAAGGTTTTATAATCTTCCTTTGTTTTGTGGGATGTGGCAGATCATAAATTATGATAAAGAAAACTAATAGAATACTTGCTCAAAATAATTTTTTCTCTCTTTGCCTTCAGGGTAAACATGGAAACCCAGGTATTAAAGGTGAGCGAGGACCAAAAGGAAATCCGGTAAATGAATAGACTGCTTTCTTTTAAATCAGTGTATATCTGTCTAGACTTATTTAAAGTATAAACATAAAGAAAATAAAGAGCATTGCAATATATGGCAAGAATCTGATGAGTTTTAAGAAGAATATAGGACATTGACTTCCTATATTATCTATCTTGTTTTTGTTTGCTTGCTTCTACAATTCTAAATAGAATATGAAAGTTTTAGACTGTAAGTTTAGAAAATCTAGGGACATTAGCTAAGCAGAATTTGTTACTTGAATAATAATGGCCCAAATTAATTAGGACAATGTTTCATGAACCACTAATACATGTGCCACATCAGATTCACATTGGCACTTGTGTTTTTTATGGATCTGCATTATGGATAACTGACCTATACCAGATGTTTTCTCTGTCCTAGAACATCATATGTCATTTCTCTAATTCTTTTTTTTTTAAATGTGTATACCTATCCAAAAAATCACAGATTAAAAAAAATTACCCATTTATATTACTATTGGGACAAAAGTGTTCTAAATTCAAGAAAGACTGAAGGAATCACAAAGAGAGAGAATAGAAACTATAACTATGTGAAAACTTAAGGCAAAATTCTGTACAGTTAAAAATTATAGTTAAAATGTGAAGACACCGAATACAAGGGGCATTGGGTTAACTTCTATAGTACATAAAAAAAACTTGTAAAACTGATGAGAAAATATAAAGTTTTTAATAATTGAGTGAGCAAAGGACACAATTTTCAAGAGAGGACATAAAACCAATAAAGAAAAAAATAGAAAAAATTTAATTTTATTAGGTAATGAAAGAAACTGAAATAAAGACAATGAGATACCCTTTAACACTAATAATTCACATTTTAAAAACTTGGAATCCAGAGGCTCCTTAGAAGTAGTTTTCTAGTTCACCTAGTTTGTTTTTTGGGTGTTTTGAATTTTAAGAACATTTCTTTTCTTATAGCAACTAACATGGTGATTTTAAAGTAATAACTAATGATAGTGATATGGTAGTGAAGCTGGTTTGCTCTTCATTGCAAAGATAACTTGGCACAGATATTTTGGAATAAATTGGGCAATAAAGAGGAGACATTCAAATACTTGAAATTTTGACTCAATCCTATTTCTGAGAATACTTTTAGGAAAGTATAAAAAATATAATGTTATATGCATGAAAGTATTTTTGGCAATTGCTTGCTTGCCAAGGAAAGGGAATGTATTGCATCTTTGGTTCATTCTAAAACACACACACACACACACACACACACACACACAAACTCACATACACACCCTATATTCACTCATATTATGTAGGCTTGAATTGATGCCATCATGCTGTTTGTTATTGTTTTAAATACCTGTTATAAGTTAATGTGTGCCAGTCATGTATTTGGTTTATAATTTCTTGCTCCATAATTTATTTTCCTAATCTTGCTGACATCAACCAATCACTCCTAAATACATTTTGGAAAACATTCCATAGCCCCTTGGAGAAAAGCAAGGGTGTCCGGCTCAGAGCAAATACAATGCTCTATTTGAGAAAAAAATGACCATGTTGTGAAAGTGGGATGTGTCCTAAGCTGCAAAAATATATCTGAATCCTGTATATTTAGCTTTATTCTCAAAGGGCAAAGTTTATCTGAGCTGCTGTTTTCTTCTTCATATTGTATGTGATAGTGCCAATAGTAAAGTCTTAAGATTTTTCCTAACTGGGTTAACCTATTAGTCTGAGACTTCTGAATTGAATGCATTATTCATCTGAGCAATAATCACTCTGCAAGCCTGTGGAATTTTGACTGATTTTTGTTTGTTGTAGGGTGATGCTCAAAAAGGAGAAACTGGAGAAAGAGGTCCTGGGGTATGTATACAACTGGAATGCCTTCCTGTGGAAGTGATCTCGGGATGCTAACGCTCTGGGATTGACCATTTTGATCCCCTCAGGAGGGGACTTTCACCTACCTGTGCTCTGATGACTCAGGCAGGCAATCAGACATATATGACCTTGGGAAATGGAAATGTGAGGAGAACATACTTTGATGGAACCAGGGGTTTTCAGCCCTGTGACAGTCCCTGAAGCTTAACTGGACAATTGTGAAAGGCTCAAATGACAAAAAGCATTTTGCTTTATTTCTTGTGTCCTTTTTCATGATGAAGAATAAGTTGAGTTTCAATGTCATAATAATTACATGGTCTAAACTATGCTGTTGTCAATACAATCTACAAACAAAATAACATTTATCATTTTAGTTGATTTCTTATCTCCCAAATTAAAAGATAACAAAGATTGCTTGACAGATAATATAGTGCATGTCTTATTTTCCATTTTCCTGAGCATTTTGGTAAGGGTAGCAAATAGCAGAGAAAGTGAAAAAAGGAGGCCTTGTTGTGTGGTGCCTCTCTGCTTGTCCCCTTGGGTATAAGCCCTGGACTCAGACCAAGAGATTTAAGTACTGTTCTCTTGGTATTTTTAATTAACTTTGTGAAAGAATCTGATAGAAACTCTGACAGTCTCATTAAGCATTCATTCAGAAATTTGTGTTATTTTATTCAGGAAACATTTCTTAGGATTCTTATAGATATATGCAGACTAGTAATAAAAATAAAAGTATATTTTTAAAAAAGCTTATGTGTCTTAGGAGAGATAAGATATTCCAAATAGCTACAGTTTGAAACAGAATATCAAAATATTGTTAAAAGGTCATGAACAGGTACTGAGAGGAAACTGGAGTCATCCAGGTATATTTTATAGGATGATTCCTGAAGATACAAGGCTGCGCCAACAGGCAAAGATAGAACAGGTTGGGGAAGAGACAGGCAGATGGAGAGAAAGCCATGAACACCAATCTGAGGGAGGATACTGATGGGGAATGGTGAGATGGGTTACTCGTCAGACTCAGTGTGAAGGGTGGATTGGACAAAATGCCCAATCCTGCTGCAAGGTCTGGAGTTTACTAGGTGATGAGAAGCCCCTGAAATTTTAATGAGGTACAATGACCCAAAAGCTGTGTAATGGGGTGATTAATCTAATGAGACTCTAAATAGGAGAAGGAGAAGCACTTAGAAGAAGGTCTGCTACTGTAGTGGACAGGAGAGTTAACATAGACATTGGCTCAATCTGCTCTGGCCAGTATGAAAACCACCAATCAAATGTGGCTATCAAGCCCTTGATACATGGCTACTCTGAATTGAGGTGTGCTGTAGGAGTAAAATATATATTGAATTTTAGAGCCTTAGTTCAAAAAATTATCTCATTGGTAATTTTTATATTGATTAAATATTAAAATGACAGTACTTTGAACCTGTTGGTATAAACAAAATGTAATATTAATTCCACTTCCTTATTTTTACATTTAAAATGTGACTATTAGGACATTTAATATTACATATGTAGTTCACATTTTTGGCTTGCATTACATTAAACAATATCAGGTTACAGCAAGGACAAAATAGAAAAGAAGAATATTGTGAGAATCCATGAAGTCGTGGAAATGACCACATGTGTTGACTAACTCTAACTCATATATTTAACAAATATTTATTGAGTACTTGCTATATGCCAGGCACTCTGTTAGGTGCTGGGGATTCAGGCGTGAGTAAGACAGTCCCTGTCTTAGCAAGTGTTTCAGTGAGGTAAACAAGAAATAGCCATACAAATAGATAATTTCAGTCAGAGAAGTACTATGAAAATATAAAACAAGGCAAGGAAAGTAGTCTAAGAAGAAGGAGCAGAGACAAAGGCCCAGAGATAGGAACATGCTTGGTAGACTCAAGAAATGGAAAGAACCCCAGAACATGTTAATGAGTGATGGGCGACAAGGCCTTTGAGATAGACAGGGGCTAATCATATAGGACCTTGCAGGCCAGGATCAGAAGAGTGGGTTTAAAGTCCAGCAGGAAGCGGTTGCAGAATTTTGAACAGGTTGGATTAAAGGGATATAATGGTAAAACAAGGAGAGAAAAAACAAATGATTATAAAACTTTGATTCTGTGTGATTTGAAATGTGATGGTATCATTACTAGAAATAGGAAAATGAGAAAATTTGCAGTTTGGGTGCCATTTTGGATATTATAAATTTGACTATATAAAAACTAGTAATTAAGATGCCCTGAATAAAAGAAGTAAGTTAAAAAGAAGAGCTGATATAACAACCAAACAGTAAATTGACCATGATTTTCAGAAAGAATACAGGAGGAGAAAGAAAGAGAGAAAGAAAGAAAGACAAGACTACTTAAAAGCAATATTTCTTTATTTTGTAAGGCTATATGGCTCCTTCCAAAATATAATCTGAACTCTTTTAATATAAAGTGATGACAGAATTATAAATATGGATGTGTGTTATAATGGGTGGAGAGTGCCCTAAGGTTCCTGAGATTAGAAGAATAGGCTTTTTTAGCATGAATGGTTTTAATATGAATTCCATTATAGGTGGCTATCTATAATATGACCTTTAATTTTAAGCACACTCCTAAAAATTAAACAACATGAACAAATAAATATTTCTAAACTGGATTAAATTGTAGTTTCATCATGTCTTCCACTAATTCTACTTTTATGTTCTATTCCTCAGGGACCACTCATTTGGAAAGAAGGTTTATTTCCTTAATGAAGTTTCCTTTTGTTAAAAAGTCATAACAGGACAAAATGTTGTAGTCTGACTCACATGTAACAGCAATAATAGCTTGTTTATGCCACTGGTTTCTCCAGCTTGATTTAAATATGCCATATAATTTTGTTTTGTGCTTGAAAAATATAGTTGTATGAAAGAGGTGTGAAATCCAATTTGGAAAAGATTAATTTTGCTTAGAGTGGATAGCTTCCTGGTTCATTTAATATTCAATACTGTGTCACTTAAAGGGCTTATGGGTAGAGTCACAGTGGAGAAGGCTGTACGGGATTTCCAGGACTGACTCAGAAGACAGCAGAGGTGCTGGCCCCGTGTCCAGCTTGATATAAAAGACAATAAGTTAAAAGGCCACTGTCTCATCAGGTTGATAGAGGAACCATTCATTTTCTCAATGTTATATATTTGAAACCAAATTTGAAAGGAGGGCCATAATAGATACAGATATTTACCTATATTCCAAAGGCCATTATCTCAGCTCATTTTCAAAGCCAGTTTCTCTAATGGCCTCTGAGAGACATTCTCAGCTGCCATAGTTCACAGTTTAAAAGTAAATATAACAATTTTGAAAGAACTGTTATGGGTCATCACTTTTACAATGACTTTCAGTATAGCTTCTCTCCTTCAGTTTGACGCCAAAGGGTAAGAGATTAGGGTTGGAAAAAAATGTTTGAAATAGAATAGAAATAGTAGGGAAACATAGGTTCTTTCCTTCTCAATAAATTCGTACTTCCCAAGCATAAAGTAACATAGTTCACATGTGTATTATCTTATTTTCTAAGACTGCATAGATATGTAAAGGTGTGTTTTTATTATACCTTATATATGAAAAACATCTAACTCTTCCTCTAATTCTGCTTTATAATGGTTTACTTTTTAATTTATTTTTTAACTAGGGAATTCCTGGATACAAGGGTGACAAGGTAAGAATTGTCTATGGGTTCCATTTGACCTCCCCACTTCCCACAGAGTCTGCAGGGTGAAAAGACTGCTCCTCTTCTAGATCGTATTTTGAGTAACCAATACCCCAGAAATTCCTGCAAAATGGCCCAAATCTGCTTGGAGGGCACACATAAACATTACATAAAATCATTCCTGTATCTATTTTCTTCCCAAGTCTGAGAGGGAAAAAGTGGTGGCTGTTTCTAGGGTCAGGAGGAATCAAGATATGTACTTAGTATCTATAAGTCCTTGAACAACTCAAGATCTCTGGTAATACAATCCTGTCTAATTTGCAGGGTGGTTGGAGAATAAATGGAATAATGGGTGTGATAATGTATTGTAAATTGCTTGCAAGACTATAAATGTAAGGTTCAATTATGAAGAGGCAAGGAAAAATCTTAACATAGGAAAGTTGAAATTTTTTATAATTATAAATTTATCCTATATACAGCTGAGTAAAATATGAATTCCCCCATCTTGATTGAAACAATGAGGTAGTCATCAACACCAGAAAGCTCTACACGTGCACGTGCACGTGCACACACACCCACATATTTTTAAAGATTCATACAACCTTCTGGAGAGTTTTAGATTCACTGAGAGAGTTCTCACTTGGAAAATGCAGTTTTTCAGAGAAAAGTGACCCTGAACCTTCGACATTCAAACCAGAATTTCACTAGGAGAAGCAGCATCAGAAATCCAAAGCTAGGAACAGAGCTAATCTGTTCATAGTTTTCTGAAGTACTTGCTCCCTAGAACTATATAATTGTGACCATTCCACAGGGACTAATGATCCTACCAAAAAAAGAAAACGCCTTTCTGAGGCAAATAACATGAATACAATATTTTCATTGATGGGAATCTGCCCCCAAAACAAATGCTGTTCCTCAGGACCCTAGAGCTAACAAATTTGTCTGGACAAATGGAATGTGAATTCTAGCCAAAAGGATTTTTGAATGTATTTTTGGTACTTTTCTGTTTTATAGTTTAGTGGTTGACTCATTTTGTTTCCATCTAACGTTACTAAATTAATTGCTTTCTAATTGGGTCTTCGAGAATGATTTTCTATTTACATTCAGAAGTTAATGTTCAACTTGTTCTGAGTGAAGACTCAATTTTCCCTGAGTTAATCATGTTCAGCCAGAGGAAGGAGAATTTGTGGTCCATTTGTGTGCCATGTGTCAAAATGCATTCTACTGTCATAGAAAACTAATTAAAACAAATTAAAAAATAAAATAAAAAAACAAAAGTTGAAAAAAAAATGATGTAGAGAGAAAGCAGATTGCTTTTTAACAGATAGCTGTCACAAAGAATGACACCATTTTCTTTTATGCTCCTGATGTCAGTAAAACTCCAGGTTGACCTTGAGTAGAAATGCCAGGTCAATGGAAATAACTTATATCCCATTATAAGGTGCCCTGTTTGGCTATGGTGACTGATACATGAATCTGGAAGTCTTACGGACTCAAGTCTGTGATTATAGGCAAAGAATTTAGTCTTTCTGAGTTTCATATTCCTTATATATGATTGGATATATGAATATATGTGGATATATACATATATCTTATATATGTACATTATGTACTGTGCAAGGTGATATACTTATGGAGATAGCAATCATGTAAAGGCTTTGGCACACACTTTGCATCCATAATTGGTGATTACAATTGTTATTTCCTTCCTTAGGGGAGTGCTATTCTACATGTGGTCTTCAGGCTGGCTGCCAGTCTTGTTAATATTTGCTGGTAGCAATGAGAAAAAGCTTAAACCAGAATATAAATTTACTGTATTACTATCAACATTATTAAATTCAGCTGACAGTTATTTCCCATGACACAACTTCCTTGATAAAGGAAGCAATGCATTGAATTACATTCTGGTGCAATTTCCTTATGTTAATAGTGACACACCAAGTAGCATGTCCTAGAAAAGCACATAGATAACAAAATTGCAGCAGAAGCAGAAATTAATACTGAAAGCACTGGGTTAGGAGATATAGGCTAGCATGTATGTGTAAGTAAAACTTTTAATCTCTCCAATTGTTCCCTTTTCTTAAAAATAAGAATTGATTTGAGACTCAGAGTAAATATATATGAAAGCATTTGAAAATGCTAACATTTTATAAGTAAGAGATTATTTATTATGATTATGAAAGTTTAGTCATTTTTCTAATTGGATGTGACTTTTTACTTTTAATTCCTAGAAGTCTTCAAAGTCTGATATGATGAGTTAGTATTCAGAGATCCTAATTCTCATCTGGGCAAACCACTTAACCTTTTTAAAAATAAATATTTACTTTTATTTTTAAATAATTCTGATTGACAAACATTTTATAGTTTGTAAAATACAATATGTTGTTTTGAAATATGTATGCATTGTTAAATGCTTAGATTGAACTAATGAACTTATGTGTTACCTAACATAGTTACCATTTTGTGTGTGTGTGTGTGTGTGTGTGTAATGAGAACACTTAAAAATGCGCTCTTCTAATGCTTTTCAAGAACACAAGATGCTGTTACTAATTACAGTCACCATGTTGTACAATGGGTCTTTTGTACTTATTTCTCCTCTCTAATTGAAATTTTATATCCTTTGAGCAATTTCTCCCAAACTCCAACCTGTTACTCCTGGTAACCACCATTCTACTCTCTGCCTCCGTGAGTTCAACCTTTTTAGGTTCCCCATAGAAGTGAAATCATGAAGCAGTTTTCTTTCTGTGTGGCTTATTTCATTTAACTTATGTCCCCTAGTTTCATCCATATTATCATGAATGATAGGATTTCCATTTTGCAGGCTAAGTAGTGTTCCATTATGTATATAGACCACATTTTCTGAATCTTTTTGAATTGCAAATTTTCAGTCTGTAAAACTGGATTAATAATATCTATATCAGACAGGTAATGTCATAAATGTCTGTTAAAACCATTAATAATTTCTAAAGCATAATTTTGGTGTTAGTTTTTTTAATCAACATTCTAGAATAGAGAGTAGAGTAGAGCATAATAGTGGAAAATATGTAGCATGCTCACTGCTATGCCCCTGTCTCTCAGCTGATCTTGCTCACTTATCACGGTTCCCTTCTAATACATGGTGGATGATCAGTTACTTTCCTTTTAATTTCATTCCTCTAACAATATGTCACAACTCATTAGGTGGCATCACTGGTTTGATCCTGTCAAGTTAAGGACAACTGATGGAGAAAGGTTTTCAGAGTTCAACGCCCATGCAAATCTCAGTATTGAGGATAAAATTGTAGAGAATTGGCGTGGAGCACTCATGTCATAAGATTTTGCTGGGAATCTTAAGAAAAATCCTACTCTTGACTGTCTGTAAATGTCCTCTTATTCACTTTATGCATTTATTTTTTAGGGTGAACCTGGAGAATGTGGTAAACCAGGAATAAAAGGTGACAAAGTAAGGAGGATGTTTTATAAATATTAACAGCTGTGATACCTTTTGGTCTGTTTTCTTAAGAGGAAATTTCTGGGGTGAATTATGTGGCTCTAAAAGAGATGGAGAATCAATGGATCAATTTTCACATATGTGGAACATGAAGTAGCAAACAAAAGGAGGCCTAACCTAGGGAATGAAGGCCCAATGCCTTTCTTATAGGGCATTAAGACTTTGTTCTGCAATACCTTAACATTTGAGATCAGATCTACACAAAGTCATGGTGGGAAGAATGAGATAACCAGTAAAGTCAATTCAAACTCCAACACTGCATTTTAATCTATTTTCTCTCTAGATGTAAACACTGAGATCAGACACTTTCCAAAGAGTGAAGAACTCTGTTAAATTAGTGAAATAGTTAAAAACAGTTTGGAAGAACTAAGCATGGATAGTGGCTTGAAATTTTGAATTTATTTTAGCTAAAATAAAAACACCGATGAAGAATTTAAACTAGAGGCAGTATTCAGTATGTTAAAAATTTTCTTAATAGAACAAGAATATAGAAAATATTTAAAAAACATAACGATAAAAGATCCAAGAAAGTACAGAGTAAAACTAAATAGCTTTCATTATCGCTAAGAACTATTAACAATAGGCCCCCAAGATACTAACTTTTAAAATATCTTTAATTATGGGAGGAAGATAAGGAGAAAAAGTAAAGCAGAAAGTTAAAGGAAGAGGATAGAGTAATGACACCGGTCCATGGAATTAAACACTTGAAATAGCTTGAGACTCTCTGGAAGCTTTTAAACTACTATAGAGTTAAAGGTCAGGTGGATCTGCAAAGTGTAGGCTTAGTAATTATCTCTGGGCAAAATGAAAAGTTTAATGATGAAGAGGTTCTTCCTAGAGGACAACTGAAAAATGTGAGATGAACATGGGGTCATGGAAATACAGAAGAAAGGACACTCAGGACAAAAACCAAAGTCAAACATTACCTGGAAAAACATGAATTAAAAATGGTGGACAAATAATTAATATATTTTCATTGAGTAAGATGCCAGATATTATGTATTTCATTGTTTTCTGTACCAAAAAGAAAGAAAATACTTCCAATCTGATGTGATTGTATAAATATATGATGTGATTGACTAAGAATCTCCAATGTTAGAGATCCAAATATATGAAAAAAATGTGTCTTATGTTCAATGAAATAGGGTCCTTGATACAAAGAGTTCACACAGATTTATAAGAAAAATATATGAAGAGCATGAAGAGATACAAAGGAAAAATGAGAAAAATGTCCAAGCATAGTAGCTTTCAGATAAATGAAATTAAGACATTAAAATATTATTTCACAAATCAGATTAGCAAACACTGAACTAGTATATGATATTCAGTCTTCATGGGTATTCTATAAGATAAAGATGTGCTTTCTATATTCAGGTGATAGGAATGGACAACAAACTTCACAGAGGAAGTTTCTTTCTATATGTGGTAGGAGAGGCAAGGGAGAGTGATGCAGAACCCTAAATGTGTTTCTAGTCTCTGCCTCAGTTTATCTTCTTCTAGGAAACTATTCTTAGAAATGAATCAGAAGTTGGACAAAAATTTGTACACAGAGATGGTTGTTAACCTACTACTTAAAATAGCAATCATAAATACTTCAATGTCAAATGAGGCAGATGAGTAAGTAAATTGATAGTTCTCTATTCATAACAAATGGGAATCTGGGAAAGGAGAAATTAGATATTATTTGTATAATATCTAAAATAACAGTATTTTGCTAAGTTCTGTGTCTTGAAGAGGGACAAAAGAGCAATCTAGATACAACGATAACTCACTAAATTGTTAACTAGTGACATTCCTTATTGGAAGGAAACTATTCTACCAAGCATGCTGCCTTCTAAAGGATTTTGTGAAGTAATTGCTTTACCTCTGATCAAAATGTCAATGTGTAGGCTAAAAACTGACATGTACAATTGGATTTTCATGGAATTTGTTTATTAAGACAAAGTCTGACCTGAGGTCTCTTGTTAAATAATCATTTCAACTTGTTGGCTTTGGTGTTTGGATAACCAGGGAAGACTGGCTGTTGCCACATGACATTCCCTTTCCTCTCACCTAAAATAACTGCCCTTAGGAGATGGATATTTATAGATACTTACGATGAATTTTATTACACAGGGGTCTCCAGGGCCATCTGGACCAAAAGGACCAAAAGGACTTCAGGTAAGGTTACTAAAACCAGATCTAGGTTTGGATTAGAATCACCTGGGAAACTTTTTTTTAAAAATCCCTTTACCCACTTGTACCCTCTTCCAATTAAATCAGAATGTCTGCAGATTGGAACCAGATATCAATATTTTTAAAGATCCCCAGATGATTCCAATTTTTCAGCAAAGTTTGAAAACAACTTTCCTATTGTTTTGATTAGCTAACTCAGGCTCCCTAAAGACAGGTACTGGCCAGCAAATCTACTTACTGAGCACCTTAAGGAGACGAAAATAATTCAGAGTATTTTTGCATTGCTGCTATAATTGGAAGAGTCGTGCTTTTCTCTAAATTATAATATTTGTATTTTTCCATTACTATAAGTACTTAGTCCTCTATAATATGGAATGATCATTTAAGGAATTTGTTTAATTTAGACAAATTGCATGGATTTCAGAAAATAAACTGAATTTGTTTTTCCAGCCTAGGGACTTGTCTCTTCTAAAGTTACACTTTAGAAAAGTTAAACTTTTCAGAAAGTTTGCTGAAAGCTGTACTTTTACCAAAGATTTCCTACATAGTGTCTAGTTAGCCAACAACTTCTTTGCTTTGGCCTGAAATTGTCAGAGCAAGCCAGTATTTCTGGTTATTGGAAATGATTAATTTCAATTATATGGCTTAGATACTAAAAAAAAATTGCTTAGTAGGAAAGAAAAATTTTTTTCAAAGTCTGGCATGGGAATAAGTTTAGAAACACAGGTTTAGGTAACAAATACCTCATTAATAAGATGTTTTTCTCTCAGCATATGTGCTATTTTAGAAGCTGTTCATTCAACTCGGAATTTTACGTCATTCAGTTTCTTGACTGAATCTGATGCCAATGTAACTCTGAGCTATATGGTCTGACTTCTAACTCCAGGATATCTAGAAACCTTAAAGAAAGGCTCATTCTTGATTAGCCTTTTGTACACAGAACTAATTCTTTGTTTTCATCTTGGAGCAGGGCATTGGTGGACCTCCAGGCGATCCAGGCCCAAAGGGATTTCAGGGCAATAAGGTAATCTTACCCTGTGATTAGAGACAGACAGAATGCCTTCCACCCCATGGCTTTATGGTAACACATGTTTTTATTAGACTGACATCAATGGACTCTTGAGGAAGCATCTTTGGAAATACTTAATAACCTGCAGGTGTACACACAGAATCAATCAAGTATATGCAGGAAGCCAGTGGCATAGCTTTATCATTTATTAGTCTGTTACTCAAGGGGGACATTGTTAAACATAAACCATTATCTAGATTCTTCACCGTATTGTTTTCCTACTCCTGTCCTTTAGTCATTTTATGGCTCACTAGAAACTAAAAAACATTACAAAATAACACAATTCAAATATTCTCTTGTCCACATACAATGCCATCTTAGTATACAGTTTATTAAGGAATGTAGTTTATCTGTTATACCAACAGAGATTAAGCAACCACAACTATCAGTACCCTGCTTGTAATGTCACCCATTGATAATAAGGCAAGACAGACAGGGAGGTGTTTAGTGAGAACCAAATACAAAGCGAGGACTCCAAGAGGGCTCTATAAAAGACCTGGTTATAAGATTCCCTTTCCCAAAAGAGTGACTTTGATTTGTTAAAAGCAATCCTTTTGGTTTCTTTTTAACTGTTCTCAATGCTTAGTACATTTCACAGATGTGGTAAATATTCCAATTAATGGTGTTGGCTTCCTGACTGAAGTTGTGTGGAATTTGTAGCGATTGTTAGCTACAGAAGCTGCTCTCCCAACTGACCCTAGAAAAAGCTAATCTTTTAAGAGTGCAATATTGGACTTAAGTTGTAGGAGCAGTTGGGCTATTTAAGTGTTAACTTTTCAGAGAGAAGAAAGGGAGTGACAAGTATCGTATTTTAATGAGATAATGACAGTTTGGGATTTCCCAGGCTACTTTTAATTGGCAAATTAAAATAGAATGGGCTTCTCAGAGGGAGAAGGCTCAAGCTTCATCTGGGGAGATTGTCTTTTCCAGTGCTTGCCCCTGATTAATTTTCTCTGGGGGAAAGAAATGCCTTGTTGAATACTGAGTAGAAGTTCTCATGAAATTGCTTTGACTATAGGTGAAATCCCACAGCAAGCAAAAGATCTATATTTTGATAGTACGTGCATGTTTCTAGAATTCATTGGTTACCTAAGATGATAATGTTCATGTTTGTGAAATAGAGGCTTAAAATCAGGGATCAGGGCAGGAGATTGTAACAGCGATAGAATTATAGAATGTTTGAGCCATAAATGATTTTAGAGATCATACTTTTATTTTGGAAATAAGAAATAAGGCCTGGAGATCAAAGGCTTGCGTTAGAAGCACAGGCCACTCCATCAGCTCCTGAGGCTCTGGGGAGGTGCTGGGCTGGGAGCAGTGTGTGTGCGGTAATGGTGACTGTGCAACAGTGGTGATGAGGACAGGTCCACAGAAAGCTGGCATCATGTGATTATATCTCTTTGTGTTTAATTGACTTACTTACTACTTAGATGGTTTTTTAAAAATATTTTTTTAGTTGTAGATGGGTACAATATTGTCATTTTATTTATTTATTTTTATGTGGTGCTGGGGTTGAACCCAGTGTCTCATGCATGCGAGGCAAGTGCTCTACCACTGAGCTACAACCCCAGCCCCAGTATTTTTTTTAAGAACAATTTATCTGAATAAAATTTGGTTTTTAATTCAGACAATGCATTAGTTCTTAATAAATAATGAGTCAAGTGGGGTTTTCTGGGAAGGAGGAGTGGCTATGAATTTTCTGACATAATAGCACTTTGTGTTTGAGTTTTATAGCATAGGCATAAAAGAAGTAATTTTTTTCCAAAAGTATTGGAGGAGTTTGTCTGTTTCCTAAGGGCATCTCCTTAAATTGAAATTTTAATTGTAATAAAATATACGTGACATAAAATTAACACTCAGGTTTGAATCACAAAGTTCACTGCCAAGTGAACACAGAAGATCATTGCCAATTGAAAAGGTGTCATTTCTAGGCAATGATGGGAGTTGTTAGGAGGCTGGAAGGAGGGCATGTGAGCTTCCCTGTCTCCCTCTAGTGCTATTTCTGGTTTAAGGTCACAAGTGTAGATAGAGGTCTCTCAACTCTTCCTTTCTTAGAGTATTACTACTTTCTATATGATTTCTACTACACTTTGGATCCATTAGCTAGAGATCCATGTCACCTTGATCATTAGTGGACCCTTATTTTGCATTTTATACATTTATTAGTGTGTTGTCTTAAAAGTCAGCTTTCAGGGAATGATTTCATCTTGCCTCCCAGAAAGTACTTCTACATTTTGAAGGCATAATAAACAAATTCGTTTCTTGGCCTGTAAACAATGTTGTATTAGATAGTGGCTTCTTTATTTTCACCCATTATCATTTTATTAGAAAATGTTTTCAAGAAACTGATATTGTAATTTATGTAAATAATCTCTAAAATCCAGTAATTGTGCATTTTAAAAATATATTTATTTTTTAGTTATTGGTGGACCCAGTATATTTATTTTATTTTTATGTGGTACCAAGAATTGAACCCAGGGTCTCACACATTCGAGGTAAGCACTCTCCCTTGGAGCCACAATCCCAGCCCATAATTATGCATTTTCTAATGAGCATAGGGAGGATTATTTATTTTGTAATTTCTGTAATACTTGTTGATAGCTTACAAATTAGGCTACCAAGGCACGAGGAGTTAAGGAAAGGGTCCAAGTCTATGAAATTAGTAAGGGACAGAATCAGAATTCAAACCCAGAAGTCTGTTCTTAACTACCCTGTGCTATTTATCCCTTTACAAAAAAACGGCTGAATTTCCTGAATATTTGTTCTGAGATAAATGCTTTACTTTTGAACAGTATGGAAGTTGCATATTTTCTCTTCTAGTATATTCTGGCTGAGCACAACACTCTGTAGAAAGGTGCATTTCTACTTGACTATAATGTTCATCTGAAAGTAACAGGAAAAGAAGGAAGGGGATCACTTGGGGAAAAGAAAACAGCAATTCTAATTTTGCATTTTCAAATACTGTATTTCTTATGAGACCTTAAAATAGAAACCTTAGGCTTGTAACATGTGCAGATTCTGTGAGTTTCTAGATGGTATATGCCCATATTTTTGAATTTATGAATGGTCTCTCATCAACTACAGTCACTTTCTGTTGCTCTGGGAGTAGAATGTTCTTCATCAAAGGGTTTGTCTGAAAAGGTGGCCAAAGGACAAAAGGAAAAAAATAACATGGGTTAAATCAAGGGAAAATATGCTTCTGGCCATTTTACAAATCATTTCTGTCATTAATACTTTCCACATGTAAAGTAGCTCCTATTCTGCACTGAATGCCCTTGTTGCCTTAGCAACAAAACATAGATGTTTCTCAGAATGACACATTGGCTCAGAGGCCACCTCAACTTCTTTCGCACATAAGGCTCACGTGGAGATATATTCATGAGAACAATATCCCAGTCGTCTGTATGTGAAATAAATTGGAATTATAATCACATCGGTGGCCAAGAAGCTTTATACCTAGGACCAAACTGAAATGTAACTCAGGAGACAGCGCTCTCTGGGATCTGAAGAAAGACTGGAGTCCCTGGGAACCCAAGACTACCAACTTCCATGGGGTTGCAGTGGCAGCCCAGGATGCAATCACATCTGGCTGCCAAAGGAGCTCTCATAAATAGAAAAAAAAATGTCTCACTGCGTAGACCTTTCAAATCACAGAGAACAAGTTACCAAAATTAATTGTGAACAAATAAACCCAGTGGAACATTGGGTGGGTCCTACCCAAATTAGGTCATTTTTGACATTTCTTGATGTCTTTCTGAGGTTATTTCTGAAGCATACTTTCTTCACAAGCCTCATGCAAATCTGCTCTTTCTAAGATAGCCTTTGTGTTTCTGGGAGCTAGGGATGGACTGTGGCATGGATAGAAGCAGCTGTGACACTCGGAGGTATCCTAGCATTAAAGCTGTAGAATTAGGGCCAAAAGAACATAAGGAGATATCCCTGAAGTCTTTTCCCAAGATGAAGTACCTTATGTAAATCCTCAAATAGTTAAAAATACTGTGATATTGTATTATATTATCAATTGATCTTTATAGATAAATTGCCTTCTTCTTCTGCCTTCCATTGTGCTATTTTAGAATGTTCATATTTCCTGTAAGTTTTTTTTCCTGTTTTCCTCTTCTGCCTTCAAGACTTGAAGTCCTCTTACATATAAAATTGGGTCTTGCTTTATGTTCAATTTAGCTTCTTCAATGTTAAGAAAACCCATAGAGAAATTGGAATATGGAGGTGGAATCAGAGGGAGGGAGGTAGCACTCAGGGATGTTGACCATTTTCCCATCCTATTTGGGTAATACAGAGTAAGTGAAGCGCTGATGTGACCCATTAAAAGCTTTTCATGCATTAATAACATAAAAATTATTAATAATAACATAATAATATTAATAACACATAATAACCTAATGTGTTATTTCTACTTGTACTTTCTTCTAAAAGTGTCATAAAGACTTGGGATTTTGTTTTGTTTTGTTTTGCCTATATAATTAGTCACTTTTTCATAGTTACTATTTTCACTAGAGCAGAAGAATCACTACTGAAGATTTGGTTGTTTTAAAGACACATTTCTGTTTTGATAATTACTTAAAAACTTAAGTTGGTCCAAAGTTTAGCTTAGTAGCTTTAGTACGTTAACCTATTAAATATAACCAATATTTCCAAATTGTGGTTTGGAAATAGCTCAACACCACAAATTCAAATACCTATACAGAATTTTAAACTTTCTCCTCAAACAGGCATCGTGTATAGATTTATTTCAGCTCTCATATAACTCAAATACCTAACAATCTCCTAATATCATGATGTTGCTTTCAACCACTTAAAAAATCAGGATTTGTTACAGGATATTTAATTCCTCATAATGTGAGGTAGAGTAAATAAGGTGAAACATATGTAGTACTTGTAGTTTCTAGTAAAGAATAATTAATCAAACAGAAAGATCTTGAGTTCACAACTCTGAG